GTCAATGGTAAGTTTGTGATAAGGTAAGAAAAGTAGTTTAAATGTTTTGCCACAAGTTTGCTTGAGCAACTTAATATATCAATCTAGAAGTAAATGCAAAAGTAAAAAGCATTGAATAATGTGTTGCTTATATTTATTGTTTAAACATGTCTGTGAAAGATTGTATTACTGTACTGTGTAAAAAAAAAGAAAAAAAAAAAAGAAAAAAAGAATTGCAATGCTGAAAAAGCATTTTCTGAGACAATGTTTGGATTTGAAATCAAACTAATGGATAAATGTTGTGTTTGTGGTAAACAGCCATGGATCAGTAGTGGACTCCTCTCGCAAGAGTCACCTAAGAGGGGAATTCCCCCCATTTTCAAAAATGAAATTCAGGCCCTGAAAATCCTGATTGGAGTGGAATGATAATTTGGTATATTCCAATGATATGGAAATGATAAAAACAAGGCTTTAAAAAGATCGGTATCGGTGATCGGTATCGGCAGATACTGCTTTCTGTGATCAGTGATCGGCCTCAAAAATCCTGATCGGAGCACCCCTACTTTTTAGAAATATGATTACGGAGGCCCATCAGAGCCAGTCTGACCATGTGTTTGGAGTGTAGTAACATGGCTTTGGCTTGATGACTTTCCATGTTTAAGAGTGATTTGATGGGATCATGATCTGTGGGTGGCTTGAAGTGTGGCTGAATCAAACTTGTCCTGAATGGGCCTGTGTACTTTCACCCTGTAATTATGCTCTCCATCACTCTCCATCTGTATCCATGGAGACTGTTGCTGTCGGCAGCAGTGCAGCAGCCTAGCATTAGCTGCACTTAAATGGCAATGAGTGTTTTGGCCTGATAAGATAGGAGAACCTCTACAGCACTTTCCTCGATAAAACCACACTAAGCTTTCCTACATCTGACACAACACACAAGTATAAATGTCTTCTTTTCTCTTCTCTTTTCTTTTCTTTTCTTTTTTCCTTCCACCCCTCTTCTCTTCTTTCTTTCAATTCCATTTCCTACCTTTTCCTCTCCCTTCCATTCCCTTTTCTGTTCCACTTCCCCTTTGCATTCCCTTCCTTTCAATTTCCTCTTCCCCTTTACTTTTTAATTCCTGTATTTACATTTTTTCTTTTCCCATCCTTCCCTTTCCTCTTCCTTTCCTTTTTATTTATTCCATATTCTCCTTTCCTTTTTTACTTACTTTTTCTCTTCCTTCCCTTTCATTTCCCTTTGTTCAATTTCCATGCTCTTCTCTTGCTTTCTTTTTCCCCTTTTTAATTAATTTATTTCCAATTCCCCTTTCCCATCCATCTCTTTTCTCCTCCTGTCCTTTTCCTCTTCCTTTTCTTTCCTTTCCCTTCCCTAATTTCTTTTATTTTCCTCTCTTTTCTTAGTTCTGGAGACAGGGAAAAGGGGATTATTTCCAGGGTGTGATGTTCCTGGCAGAACTCAGCACCCCATCTGTCTGTCTTGGAAAAATACTCATCCAGGTACTAAACACAAACACACATTCACCCTGTCTTTCTGTATCCCTTTGTCTTCCTTTTGTTTAGTGACTGTATCTTTCTGTTTAACAACCTAGGTAAACAGATTTTTGCACTATTCTTTCTTTTCTGGGAATGGGTAATTTTTACTAGATTTACTAATCTTAAAACATCTGGTGATTGACAATGATCTTTCACAGACCTTTTTACTGTAACAACTCTCTCGTACACATCTCCTTCACTGCTTCAGTGTTGAATGTGTAGTGGGGAATATTGAATCATGGTTTTCAGGGTTCATTGCTCTGCCTATTAATATTTTTCTGTCTGTTAAACGCTCTCTCTTTCTCTGCTTCTTGCTCTCTCCTTTGTTTGTTTCTTTGCCTCAGTACAAGCAACAGCACACTCTCCTACATAAAGTCAATGGAGCTCTTATGCTGGTCACTTTCTTCATCTGCAGAGTTCTTCTCTTCCCCTACCTCTACTACGCCTACGGCAGGTAAAGATCACTGTTTAACACTCTTACTCATTCAGACTTTAAATCTCTTATTTCTATTGCTCATCTATTCCTTCTTTCTTTTATCTTCTCTTTCTCCACTGAGTCACACTGCCTCTGATATTAACACGGATTCTTAAATCTTGAGGTTTTCAGAAAAACATATTTCTCACTCAGTCTCAACCCAGGATTTGATTTGAACATGAGACATTTACACATTCATCCTAAACGATTGCAATAACCACCAAAGACCATGAGCTGTCGAGCGTCATCGATCGTAATACCAGGACAACCCTCATCAGTCTGGATGGCATGTTCTAATTTGTTCTAATTCTAATGTTCTTAAATTGCAGCCCTGATGTATTATTCATAAGATTGGAAATTTGAGCATCCTTAGTCTTAACACTTGTGCTCCTAATTACATTTTCTGATTGTGATCTTTACTGGCAAACTAATATAGTAGGGATGGACGATAATATCGAAACGTTAACGGAATCGGCTGATAAAGGCCCAACATATAAATAAAATAAAATAAAACATATTTGTTTTGTATAAAATAAAATATACAAATCGGCATCGGACCAATAAGAAAAATTAGCCGATATGCCTTGCCAATAAGATTAATAAACTCACTTGTGCTCAGGGTGTGCTGCTAGCGATATGATTATGTCAGCAGTGTGGCCATTCTTGAAGCAAAATTTTGCCTCAATTTTTAATCACCCATTTAATTTGAGAATGCACATACAGAATAAAGCATCCGGTGTGCGATAGTCAACAGTCACTAGCGCGTGCAACAGCAACAACAGCCTCCCCGGGTTCTAATACCCGTCCAGTAAGGCTTTTTAAAATTTATTTAGGGGCGCTGTAGTCCTACTTGTAATAAAAATACACAAAAAACATTAGGATAGTTGTGTTTATAAATAAATAAAGCAATAACTGATGTCATAAAATCACAAATCTGTTTTGTGGTCAGAAGCTATAGCTTACATGATTAAAAATCACAAACATGACACTTCTAAATAATTTTGTGTAAAATAAATTTTTTAATGAATTATGAAAACTTAAATACAAGGTAATCTTTTGCTTTAGGCCATCTACAAATGTTAAATCTACAAATAAAAAAGCAACATAAAAATAATTTGTTTATAATCTTTGCACAGGAGAGACTTGTTTCCAAAAAGGAAATATATCGGTATCGGCCAAGATATCGGTAAAAATCCAATATCGTGCATCCCTAATTTATAGTAATCGTTATCATTTTAATGATCATCCTTGGTGTGAAAGGAATCCCGCATCCTAAATGAAAGAGCCATGTGCCAATCGGTAAAGACTTTGCATTACTGCAGCCATTGGTCGATACTGCGGTTTCCATAAAAACATTTTCCTGAGACTCACACTTGGGACTGCACGTGTGCAATTGGGTGGACCAACCTGAAACGTGCATTGTTTTTTTCTGCATTTCCCCATTCAAGTAGATAGGCATTGCAAATATGGCCCTGAGTGATCTGACTTTTCTTGAAAGGGACTTTGATTATAAAAAATACTGATAATTACTTCTTCTCTATACACTGACTATATGCAAATATTTGTTTGTGCTCATATCACAGGTATGCCTCCATCCCCTTTTACATGGTGCCGCTGTCTGTGCCCTGGCAGTTTAACGCAGGTGCAGCTTTGCTCATGGCCCCACAAGTCTACTGGTTTTCCCTCATCTGCAGGGGCGCCTTCCGTCTCTTCACCAGAGCCTCACGGCACAAAGCTGCTCCTAGCGGCACAGACTCTGAACCGAAAACCTCACTCCTGCCCCCTGCCAACGGATACAGCCCTAGAGAGACCGACTCGCACTGAGAGAGGAATAGAGATAGAGATGTAGGTACAAGGTTGCTAGGTTTAGACCAAACAGGAAACCGAAGGCAGACTGACTTATTACAATGGCTGGTTCTACCTTAGACCCAGTGGCGTGGGATAGCAAACAAAGAAACTGAAGGTCTGTACCCTCGCTATTCACCATCATCCTCTCATTGAGAAGAAAAATAAGACTGCAGACCAAACCAAACAGATTGTTTTCCCCCTAACATGCACATTCTCTATGTTGGAGCAGTAGGTCGGGAAAATGTCATCTGCTGCTTTGCCTCTAAATGGTTACGCTACATTTGCTTTACTTTGAAAGTTTTGTTAGTGGTATTTTTTAAAAAAAATTAAAAAGTCAAATCAGAAACCTGAATGGTCACGTGTTCTGAAATTAAAACGGGTTAGCTATTTTTTTTATTGCTGTCTCATGGTCTGTAGTTATAAAAAATATCTAATCTAAGTATCATTTAAATTAACCATCTCAAACCTAAATGCTGTGTTCATACATCAGCCCATGAGTTGCCGGTAAATGAAACGCTTTTACATTGTCGTGCACTTCCATTGTTCGACTGATAAAACCAAATGTAGATTTATGATTCATTTACAACACGCTGTGCTTCAGGCTGAACCTGAGGTCGTGAAGGAGCATCTGTTGGCGCCCACTGGTGGTCAATGTGTACACTTGCTTTATAATCTCATGCAATCAAATCGAGACCAGCTCGTTGATATCTTGGAGGCTGAATCCTCTTAACGCCCGTGGCGCATTATTTTACACAAAACTGCTGACTTGATTAGAAATTATTATTACGTGGATATTTGCTTACGTTGATATTTCAGGTGCTTTACCCTCAACATTTTAGAGGAGACCTAGCTTGGTGGCCACAGTTTTCATTCTAAGATAACCCACCTACTTGCAAATAAAAAAACACTTTCTGTCTTGCCATATGTTTCGTACTTTTTCTGTCGAGTGTGACTATAGTTATGTTGTGTTTAACTATGGCAAACTGGTTGGTACAGTGTTTAGTTACAGGCTTTAGTTTTGACAAACGGAGAAATTAAATAAAGGTTTACCTGATGCGCATTTACCTTATACTAATTTGTATTAACATGATTTATTTATAATTACTTTTAACCATTGCACAACGTTTTCTAATTGTTTTATCTCCTTAAATCATTAAAATAACCACTAGGCAGTTCTCCACATCTACCTATTCATGACCGTTGGGCATGTTGTTGTTATTATTTTAGTATTATTCTCATTAGCCATTTAAAACCATATGCGTGTGTGCGCGCGTTCCGATCTTCTCTGAATGCTTGCGGATTATATTACACTTCTGAAGTCTGAGAGAGCATTCAGAGGATGTCTTTCTCTGCTCCTCCGCCGGAGTGGACACGCAGCGCGGCGGAAGGAGGGAGGGGTCTGAGCCGCTCCGGGAAACTAGAGGCTCGATGCAGCCTCCGCCGAATGAAGTCAGGCTGTTTCCAGACCGCAATGGCTATGGGGCTAACGTCGAAAAAATCCTCTTCTAGAAACAGCGGCGTGGAACGCAAGAATCTCATCACCGTCTGCAGGTAGTTTTATTGCGTGACACACAGCGAACAGCTTTCCATGACACGAAGCGTGTCTTCAACTAGCTTGTCATATACCAATGCTTAGGTAATTAAAACTGTCTTCAGGTATATTTCTAAGTGTATTTTTTTGTTATATATTTTATTAACTAGAACATAGGTCATAGGATATAGCATCTTTTTTATTTACTTGTTTTTGTTGCTTAAAAGCATTGGAGATGAGGCCTTTAAGGACGCCGGTCCCTTATTTCATACCAGCGTCCATAACGTCATTACATCCATCCGACCATGTTCATGCTGTGCACTAGATAAGCTAAAACCACAACATGACCTTCTCCCTCACAAAGCCTTTCACAAAAATGTGAATGTGATTTTTATTTATATATATATATATATATTTATAAAAATATGGGTTTGGTAAAATATTTTTTCTCAAATGAAGACAACACTAATAAACAGGAACAAAAATTAGCACAAATGTGTACTCTATGTATCTGTTAAGGTCAATATAAAAATCAAAATGTTACCCTATTTTCTTTCCTAATGCACGGTCCTGTTCTTTTGCGCATAATTCATCATCATTGCATGGAATGTTATCTCTTCATCTTAAATAACTTGTTTTTTCCCCTGATGTCACTTAGTCCATACAGGCTATTGGATGTTAACCAATAAACAAGTAGATATGTTGATTTTCTCTTGCATTTACTGTAAATAATAACTCAAATGTCAAATGCAAATCTGATTGTGTTTTAAACAAACTGTGTATGCCTTCATTTTCCTCTGTATTGTTTTATTGATCATCAAATCACACTAGAATGAATTTATTGTCAACTTTGCTTCATTTGCATCATTCGTTCAGCATGCCAGTGGATAAGTCAGTTTACTAAATAGATCTCATCTGAACCGCAGTAATTCGTAGTTTACAGTCTTACTAGTTTACAGATGCTTCATCAATTCAGAAATTGAAAGCCGTTACACGGCTTAAAAATAAAGTTTTTTTTATTGGCATCAGTGGTTCCATGAAGAACCTTTAAAGGGGTCATAGGATGTTGCTGAAAAGAACATTATTTTGTGTATTTGGTGTAGTGAAATGTTTATGCGGTTTAAAGTAAAAAAAAACATTATTTTCCACATACTGTACATTGTTTCTCCTCTATGCCCCGCCTTTCTGAAATGTGTCGATTTTTACAAAGCTCATCGGTCTGAAAAGTGAGGTGTGCTGTGATTGGCCAGCTATCCAATGCGTTGTGATTGGCCGAATACCTCAAGCGTGTGACGGAAATGTTACGCCCCTCACCATACTGTTGATACCGTGTCCGGCCGGAGCGACGAAACAAAAAACATGAAAACCCATTATAAATGAGGCATTTGTTGCATCCAGTGGGGACATAATTACTGATTATAATGACTTATACTGTCTTTTTACGCGGTGCGATGCAACGCAACGCAACAACATTAAACATAAAACCATGTCTGCATTTGTGATCGGAGAAATGACAAACAACAAACGCTACTCTACACTGCTCAAAACTCGCGTTTGAATCATCAGTGGCAAATCCTTTAAATGAAAAAATACTTACAGACTGTGAGTCAGAACTGCCGGCATTGTAGTCTATTCTACCAGGATCAGTAAACAGTCCTCCATAAAATGTGCTGCACACAAATTAATATTTGGGTTGAACTGTTCTGGAACAGTGTTGTAAATACAACTTAACCACTGATTTGTAGTCGTGTCCTCTTTTGGAAGGCCAAACAAAGTAGTTTCGCTTTCACAACGAAACACACGGCGGTCTAGCGTAAGCTGAGGCCGGGCTAGAGTGAGCAGAGGCGGCGAGCTTGAGAATGGCGCGGCCGGTGGATTCGACGAAGGAGCGGCAACCACATGTGACGACCCCGGGCTGGACTCCGCTTCGTCCACGGTGAAAGCCGATCCGGCGATTGACAGCACGAAGTTGATGTATTCCCTCAGCGACCAGCACAGATCAGCTCCAGGCATGACGAAGCGGATATCGTCCTCTTTCGGAAGGCCAAACAAAGTAGTTTCGCTTTCACAATGAAACACACAGCTCTTCACAACATGGCGGCGGCAACAATACTACAGCGAGAATAAAAGTTACGCCTTCTTTCTTTGCGTGAACATTTGGGCGGCGTTATGCAAATCTTCCCACATTGTGACGTAGATATGTGGGGCGTGTTAGAACGAGCCGTTTTAGGTAGGCGTGGTTGACTCTTAACTTTTATAAAGAATATCTCTTTGGATTTGAGACTTTAGTCTTTGCAACTTTACAGATCTTCTTTATGCACCAAGAGCTTGTAACACTCCAAAGAGAAATCGCATCATATGACCCCTTTAATGTCCATAGAACCTTTCAAATGCAGAAAAGGTTCTTTATAGTAAAAGGTTCTTTATATTTTTAAAATGTGACCCTGGAGCCCAAAATCTGTCACAAGCAGCACGGGTATATTTGTAGCAATAGCCAACAATACATTGTGTGTGTCACAATTATTTATTTTTCTTTTATGCCAAAAATCATTAGGATATTAAGTAAAGATCATGTTCCATGAAGATATTTCCTATATACTGTAAATATATCAACTTAATTTTTGATTAGTAGTATGCATTGCTAAGGACTTCATTTGGACAACTTTTCTCAATATTTAGATTTTTTTTGCACCCTCAGATTCCTGATTTTCAAATTGTTGTATATATTTGAATATTGTCATATCCTAACAAACCGTACATCAATGGAAAGCTAATTTGTTCAGCTTTCAGATGATGCATTAATCTTATGACTGGTTTTGTGGTCCAAGGTCACAAATGTTCTTTAAAATGGTTCTTTTAGGAACTGTTCACAGAAAGCTTCTTTGGGGAACCAAAAATGGTTCTTCTATGGCATCACTGCAAAAACACCCTTTTGGAGCCTTTATTTTTAAGAGTGTATGTTTTCTAGCCCTTATCAGGAGATCCACATCGTAAGGACCTTGACTCCGTCTCAGTCCAATGCCACTTGTTGTACGCTTGCAATGCTACATGCACATTTTGTCCCAGCACACTGTGTAATGTGCGTAGGTGAGTCATGGCTGAAGCGTATGAGGCACACACCGAATTCCATCACTGCATTCAGTTCTGCAGGGCTGTGTGGGACTGCACTAGAGCTGCACTTTACCAATCGGTTGGTACAGCACATTAAGTGGGTGTTGAATAATTCATGCTTGGGGGCGCCCCAGGCATAGACCATGTACAGTTGCTGAATGGACACAGAACACTGTCACTCCTGTTGGGAAACCAGCACCATTGTGTTGTCATAATAGAAATGCAGTCAAAGAGATGATTGTGATCTGGCGAGCTGTTGTGACATCATCATCCCCATCTCTTTGCCTGTAGTATATAAGAATATGGGTTCTATAAGGGTTAATATTAATTCTCCCAACAAAAAAAAAATTGGGGGATTATATATGGAGAACAACATGAACATAGATCTTCATTAATGTCAGCACATATTTATTAAGTATACAGCACCGTGGTTAGAACCAAACGTTCCAAGGTTCTACCATCTGGATGGCATAATGTAGGAATTGTTAAACACATGAAACACATGCTATGCTAATGCAGTGTGGAAAAATGAACAAGAAAGAATGACAAAAATGGACTTCAGACCTCACAGATTATTATAAACACAAAGACGCTTTTGTTGAAAAGGACAGAGGCCTTTCTCCTCTTCCCACATCTCTTGTATGGCCATGCCAGATCTGTTTGAAACATTAAATGACAAGTTACACAGGACGAAGGACTTGACGAAAAAAAAAAGATTTTTCAATCTTCATTAATGGCTGCTAGCAAAGAAATCTCGAACACTGCTTAGTTGGATCGTGATTAGCTCAAATTACTTGGTGCTCTGAGAGATGCATAGCTAAAACCTCACGTGCTTCTCTCATGTGTCTGTATTTCTCTGGTACATTGAGATCAGGAGACCATTACGTTCATTTCCTTCACTCTCAATCATCAAACCCTCACTCCCATTGTCAAGTCTCTCAGTCCACAGTGAGATGCCCATTAATGAAAGTTGGTGTTCAGTCTTCAACGACCTTTAAACCAGGTTGAAATGGTCAGGGACATGTTTGAATTTGGCCCCTAAATTACATTGGGCAGTGTAGTCTTCATGTTAGATGATCTAAACTGGAAATCAGGAGCAAATCTAACCAATATAGTTCTCTAAAGCATCTTTGTTGAAACTGAGAGCTGTTGACATTGTGGAGAAGGGTTCTGACCAACAGAAACATGGTTATTTTTCACTCCCCATAACCTACTCACTTATCTCAAAGCTGAGTTTGTTCTGCGCTAAGATCGAAACATTAGTGATGTTGCATTTCTGCTGCTTTTTTCAGTGGTTACACACACAGTCTGGATCTCTGACATGCTATAACTATAGACAGTCACACAGTTTACACAGTTTCAGTTTTCTACTTTTTCAGTTTTTACACTCAGACTAAATAAATGTCAGTTTCAGAGGGGATGAATAAAGGTTTCGATGTAAGGGCACTCAAAATACGTTTACGTGTTTGTCGGTTGGTTTTTACTAATGGGATACCTCGAATGCACTGTAAGTTGTTTTGGATAAAAGAGTATTCCAAACATTGTTTCCATGTAACAAGGCAAGAGCTCAGTACTTTGAACCATGAGATCTGTAACAGTGAATGGCGGTAACATCATCATTGATAAAGGGCAAGTTTAAAACATGATGCAGTGTATAATAGGGCATGATGACTGCCTCCCAGGTCAAAGTCGAGAGGTAAGTGTTCCAGCGGTAAAAGAAAGGCTCTTGTTGATGTCCCCATGTCTTGACTTTCCAATATAATGTAATGGCCAGTTTTGCTCATCTCCTTGAGAAAGTTTTCCAGACAGCTGAAGCTAGTAATGTAAAGGTGTGGACTCCGATGATTCAAGAACTCTGCAAGGATGAGCATTTGAATTCAGTGTCAGTCTTTGAATAGTACAATCAACAGCTTTAGTTTTGTGTATGACTTTTCATCTGAAATGATGTACAGAAGTCACTGTAGATGATGTCTTATGGTACATTTTTTCAAAAGGACATTGTCTTGATAATGTGTTCTATCTTAAATGAGCTTTTCTCTATTTCTCTTAAAGGTGCTGGGGATCAGTGTTATACAGACATTTTTAAAAGGTTTGGAATTGGGTGTCAATTACCATATTTTCATCTCCATCCTTAAGATCTAGTTCTCTGACCATCTGGTTTCCTAGGAACATGTCAAAATCATATTTATTTGATCAAACATGTCATAGCATCAGCTCAGCGACCTCTGACTGGTTCTTCCATGATCAACTTTAACTTCTAACTCAGAGCAACGAGGCTGAATGCTCAAATACACAAACAATAATTTTCACTTACTTAGCTTCTCAGCACATACCTAACCCACTGAATTATCCTCCAGTTATAGTAAGAAATGTATATTGTTGTCTGTAAGATGTGTCTTTTTAAAAGTATTTTCAATCTCCAGTCTCTCTGGGGGGACTTTTACTGAGCAATTATTGGATGGAAAGGGTGGGAAAGCTTATCCAGAATTAGCAGACAATGCTGGCACTGCCTACAGGATGGGTGATAGAAGGGGGTGAAAGAAGTATATTAAAAAGTTCAAAACAGAGAGTGGGAGGGAGATGTAGTGAAAGGATCATTGGTCAGGCTTGGGAGAGGAGGGCCAGAACAGGGAAATAGGGATGATTGATGGAAAGGGTATAGGAGAGAGAACCATAACCAGAAAGGAGGAGGTACAAAAACAATCTGGAGTTATAACCAGTAATCTGTAGGCTTTAAAAGCTGAGGACAATCTAGAACTGGGAGGTTATTCTTAGTGTCTAGTCAAAGGTGCCTTGAAAAAACTTAACAAAATCTTAAGAACAAGTGCTATGAAGTAATATTTCATGGAAGGGTCTGGCTTTTTGGCCTGTTACCAAGTGGGCGAGACCAAGGACACAAAAGCCATTTGTTAAGTGGCTGCACGTTTGTTTTTCAGTGTCAAATCGTACCAAGACAGTCTTGCTGCCACATTCCTCTATGAGCATTTTAGCCCTCACCCTGCTGACCCTCAGAGACTTGCACATCTTAATATTTACATTTACGCATTGTAGAGTTGTCAAACTTTGTCATATCCTTGTGTTTTTCACTGCCCTTGTGGCCAGGCATTGTGTCCAATCAAGGTATTTGGTTGGCTGGTGTTGGGAGTTATCCTTCCTGCAATAATTAGCATTGTTCTCGGGGCATGGGATTGCCCTACCCTTGTGGAAAACACCACTTTGTTTATTCATAGAGCCAAAGAGAAAATCAAAACTCAAGAATGTTTGTTGTTTAAAGTATCCGAATCTAACTGGGTTGTCATTACAGTTGCACAAATTTTGCTCTAGTCAAATGACGAAGCAATGAAACAGCCACAATCAAACAACTACAGGTGACTAAACTGAAATCCAAGCTAGCAAGATCAGTGATCCTTGTAGAACCTTGGAATATCGATGTAACAATGAAATATGTTAATTAGCACCATTTAAATTGTTAGGTTACACATAAGTAATTTTATTATTGCTACAAATAAAAGTCCATGGCATAACCATCATCCTTTGGAGTTGGATTCATTAATTACTAACCTGTATCCAGGATGTATTCCAAGAGAAATCTTAGGTAAACAAAAAAGAGACTTAGTCCAAAAGGTAAAGTTTTTGTTTTGAATGGCAAAAATTATTCAAGATGCAATAACATATCTCCACAGAAGGTACGCTCTGATGATGATGATGTTTCCTCAGCTTTTGGTGATATATGCCTATATTTTATTTGTTCCCAGCTTGGTTTATCTGTCCCCCATCCCACTCCCAGCACCCTGGACCTTCCCCAAAGATTTGGCCTTACTCCCCATTAAAGAGTCTTCCTCTTGGGCATAAAAGCCTTTCGGAAGGATGTAGATTTGGTGCCTCGGCTGAAGGAGGCACCACCCATGGAGATCTTTGTCTTGCCACTGGTCATGGTGGAAGAGCCCAGGGATGTTGTGCTCTTCCCGCGGGAGATAGAAGAGTTTCCCATCATGATCTTGGTCTTGTCTCTCTTGATCGATGTGCTCCCCAGGCTGAGGGCCGTCTTGCCCTCTGTGAAACTGGTGTTACCCATGGCAGAACCGAAGGTGGTGGCGGAGAAGCTCCAGGAGGTCTCCTCCAGCAGCCAGCCTAGATGACCTGACCTGGAGCACGTTCAGGGTTAAATTTTCTCAACTCTCCCTTGGGAAGCTTCTGCTCTCCTGATTCTACAGGATGAGGTGATGATGGCTCATCGCGTGCCCTGGCAGCAACGCATCCCACAACGCACACAGACAGTGTCTGGCTGGGTGTGACAGTCCAAACAGCTAGTGTCGGGATGGGACCAGAATGCTAAGCGTGGTGAGAGCAACCCCCATGCAGCATAAAGCCCTTGTTGAGCAGTATAACGTGGGATCCGCAAGGCCACATACCTCCCCTGTGTGCCGTGAATGGACAGAGGCTGCCGTAGGAGGCCTTAGTTCTATCTGGGGGCAGAGCAGACAGTAGACTGCATTGTCCTGTCCCTAAAGCAAGGCACTGAAGAACACATTGTTGAGCGACACAACTGGTGGTGACATCACTCAGTTCCGTGGCATTGTGCCTCCCTAGAACCGCTATCCAATGTTATACTGTACATGGCTTCTGAGAAAGGTATCGTGTTGACTGCCCAACACAGATTGTTGAGACTCAAGGGTGTGGTCTGCTTTCATGAGTTTTAAGTTATGTCAGATCCCCAAAATGTATAGTCAAATAAGTTATCGTTGAAGTGTTTTGTTCAGTTCTGTTCTGTCCAGTTGTGAAAATGAAAACATTTCCTATATAGCCAGTTCTTGAGATGCTTGCTTATTGTGCAAGCTACTAGGTAAAGCCAGGTTCACACTGTAAGATTTTGGCTTCTTGTTAATAAATCTAAAACTGACCACTGACCACTTCTACTATCTCTCCATGTGACAACTGGGTACAAAGTCTTGGCTATGATTGCACAGTCTGACATAAAAGAAACATTATAGTGCGCTGTGCCTTTTACCTAAGATCTGATTAGGATCACATTGTATATTTTGACAAGCAGTGTGTGCCCAGCTTAAGGTATAGTGAAACAAACCCTTTGAAATATTTTAAAGATAGACACATTAAACAATGTTTTAATCATTTCAAAGGTCTATTTATTGACAATTCTGATTAAATTAATTGTTATACTGGTTGATTTTACATTTAATGTAAGATTAAGAAGTCAAAGAATGAACAATGCACATTTTAATTGTAAGGCTATGGTTGAAGTTAAAACTTTTACTATGACTTGGTTAGTCCACTCAAATGATACAATTCCACTTGCAAAACAGAATCTCAGATCTGGCTTCTGGATCATTATTAAACTTAGACCCTCTTCTGCATGTGAACAACAATAACAGTCATTCTAATTGTGGCAGTGCACACCCTCACACATGCATGCATGTTCTCTTCATGTTCTCAGACAAATCTTTAATTTAAAATCATCTGTATTCTCTTTCAGTGACAAACACGTCATGCTCAGTTCCAAGCCAATTTTAGATACACTTACATTTCATGTTGCATCTAGAATGCATTTATGTGCGATTCTAGAGCAAGCTGGCAAACACTTGCATCTTACAAGACATCCAACCTGCTTAAACGCTCTGCTACGAAGTTAATCTTTGTGGGCACACAGACACATATACTGTACATATACTGTTTGCAGTTACTTTTGTGTCTTTAAGTCACAGATGAAAATCCCAGTAGAGATTCCATTGCGTCTCTTTGCCTCTTTTAAGGGAAGTCTTAACTACAGTGACAGACTTCTCCCCTTGACTTAAAGTGGCCTTGCTCAAAGAACTAGTAGTCTCTCCGTGAGTGATTGTAGTTGTACCCACCACAAACGCAGTCTCTCCCTTCCTCAGTTTGGTCTTGCTCCTCGAAAGAACCGTCTTCCCCCATGAGATGGCCTTCTTGCTTTTCATGAGTTTGATTTTCCCTCTTGTAAAGCAGGTCTTTCTCAGTAAAAGAAAAGCCTTGGCTTTTGAGTCTTCCTCTTGCTGTATATCGGTTGTCTCGTCCTTCTCAGTGCTCTTTCTTGCTTTTGAAGTCTTGGTCATTGTTTCAGCGTTTGTGGATCCCCTTTCCATCTACTTGGTCCGGCGCTTGGGCATGAGGGCCTTGCGGAAGGAGGTTGTAGTTTTGCCTCGGCTGAAGTTGGCTCTGCCCAGGGAGATGGTGGTCTTGCCTCTGGTTATGGTAGAGTCGCCCATAGAGGTAGTGGTGACCCCACGGGTGATTGAGGACTTGCCCATGGTGATGGAAGTCTTGCCCCGGGCTATTGAAGAGCCGCCCACAGACAGGGCAGTCTTCCCTTCCGTAATACTGGTGTTCCCCATGAAGGCATGTAGGTCGTCAGGTCTTCAGACTCTCAGTTCTCTCTCTGTTTTCTCTGCCCTTTGAGTGGGCTAGAGTCCTAGCATACCAGCGCCTTGCAGGTTTGACTGTTCTGGGAGAAAACTGTACACGGTATCGGGACAGCCCTAAATAGATCACACCACCAATTCAGCAAGTGGGTGGGTGGGGAAAGTGAGCGTGAGTGTGTTAGGATACGAGGGAGATTCACTCACTATACTGTTGCTTTAAAAAAAAAAAACAACAGGCGCAGAGGATGGAATGGAACCCAGGCGAGGACAAAGGTCTCCACGCCGACAAGTAGAATAGAGCTGTTGGCAGGGGCACAAGGACTCCAATTGTGATGGCAGGAGTGGTAACGTGAATATGGCATCAAAAGGGCATTGTCTAGCACACAAGACAATTGGGATTGACCTCAGCAGTCCGCTGTGGCACGGCTCCCGAAAACGCCTGTCTTTACATCAGCCAGAATGTCAGCATTGATCAGGGCCTGCACCGATGCTAGCATTTGTGTCTGTCTGTAAGATGCAAACCATACTGTTAGCGAAGTGTGGTATTTCACTGCGTGGTTTAGTTTTTCTGATGAATTTGGACTTTCCAAATCAAATATGTTATGTAGCATATCTAGATAACTAAACTTACTATATTCTGCCTCTCTCTTTCTCTCAGGTTCTCTGTGAAGACGTTGTTGGAAAAGTACACTGCAGAGCCTATTGATGACTCATCGGAGGAGTTCATCAACTTTGCAGCAATTTTGGAGCACATCCTCAGTCATCGTTTCAAAGGTATATGTTTAAACAACTTTTTGACCCTTAGCAGGGATCTTGATTGACAGGCGATATGACTAATCTTAACGCAGAATCCACCGTTTTGTCCGACTAACAAATCAAACAGGAGATTATAGATTAACTACGGTGGACTTAAACTTGAAAAGGGGTGTGTATTGACGTCTTTCCGCAGTAGAAATAAAATACCTTCTGATGTTCATTCATGTTTATTGTGTGTTTTAACTAGTAAATATGAAAAGGTGATCAGTTCACGTGCGCTGCTTGAACTGAGGCGCTACAACGATCTGTCACGACACATTAAAGAGCCACAAAACGGTACTTATTGTTTGAATTTCTTAAAAAAAGCAAAATTTGTTTCCTACCAAAAGTAACCTGCTCTGTCTTGTCTGTCAGCGTGTTGTCAGTTTCCTTTTTGCTCCGCGATGTATTTTTCACTGTGTGAGATCATGATGTGTGGCGTGAAAGCGCCATGGCAAGGAGTTAACTCCCAATGTGTGTTGGTACTCGCTAATAATATGTGGTGATTTTTATTTTATCAGGTCCAGGTGGTTGGTTCGGTTCAGATGGCCAAAGGAGTTTCTGGGACTATATCCGTCTGGCCTGCAGTAAAGTCCACAACAACTGCATCAGTAGCATTGAGAGCATTGAGAACATTAGCACGTCACGAGCAAAGGCAAGACACTTTCATCTTCAAGCACTCTATCTTTACACTCCTGAGATGATTAGCATAGCTTGTTTTTTGTTATGGATGCTGGTCCCTACCATGGGATGCTGGTGTGCTGATTTATTCCATCCTGCTTCACTAGCAAAGCTTTATCTGCAACTGTTTACTCTCTCGTTGTCCTACAGGGACGAGCCTGGATTCGTGTAGCTTTGATGGAGAAGCGTTTGTCTGAATATGTAGCCACTGCGTTAAGAGACACTCGGACAACCAGGTTATAACTCTGCTCTCTTTGCAATGAGTTTGACAGCTGTCTTTATAATTTCAAAGTCATTAAATAGATTTGTAAATCTATATTTGCACTGCAGGAGATTTTATGATGATGGTGCCATAATGCTAAGGGAGGAGGCTACTGTTCTGACGGGGATGCTAATTGGACTCAGTGCTATTGACTTCAGGTAAAAACACTGCATTCATGCTCACAACTCACAAATGACACTAACTTAAGCGTGAATGTGTTTTTTTCAGGAATGTGTCATTTCTTTGACACTAGTGGCACTAATACGAATAGTGAGATATGATACTGACTGTTTGTCTTTTTTTTTGCCGCCATTAGTTTCTGTCTAAAAGGAGAAGTTTTGGATGGAAAGACACCTGCAGTGATCGACTACACACCTTACCTGAAGTTCACCCAGAGGTAGGTTTTCATTTGCTGACCAAACACAAATCCTAAACCTTATAGTAGCCTTTTAAATATAATTTCTGCCTCTGCAGCTATGACTACCTGAGTGATGAAGAAGACCGCCGCAGTGTGGACAGCAGTGCCAGTGATGAGAGTGTAGCTGAGCATCCTTACATTCCTTTGGTCACAGACGAAGAGACCTGGAGCAACAAATGCCGAAAGATGGAGCAAAGATTCAAGATCGTCTATGCCCAAAAGGTATTGGGAGCTTTAGACTTCCAGTCACTGGGTGATTTGGTTGACCATGTTTACTACTGACAAATCTATCTTAACTTGGTAGCTGGTTTCTTGTTGGTCCAAGATGCTCTAGCAACTAATGACCAATTTGGATCAGACAGAAAACAGCTACTATGTTCTAAAACGCAGCTGATTAAAGCAGAAATACTGCATTCAAATACTAATCCATAAATCCCTGTAATTTTAGGGTTATTTAGAGGAATTGGTCCGCTTGAGGGAATCTCAGCTGAAAAATGTAGAAACGGAGAACAAGCGGCTTGATGCTAAACTAGAGGAACTACAGGTCCAGAGTCAACAGGAGAAGAAAGAACTGGAGGCCATTATACTGGAGCTACAAGCACAACTGTATGCATTGCACACACACTATCACACCCTCTGCGTTTGTGTCAACTAGAATCCTAGTGAAAAATGAATATACTAAAATGTATTTGAAATACATTAATGTCATGCTAAGTATACTACTAATACATTTACATATTTATGTGCTTAAAATACCCTGAAATTGTACTTTTGGTATACTAAACTAGTATGCTTAAAGTCTGCTAAATTGGAACAACTTAAGATATACTGAGGTATTTGATTGTGCTAAAGTGGAACTATTGCAAGTATACTTCAGGAACACTTTATCTTGCATTTAAATACCGATATTACTCAAAGATCATACAATCCTCATTAATAGTGACATTAAAACACATTTTAGGCTTAATATTAAGAAATGTGCGTTTTGCACAAGTAGTACTCCAAATAAAGTTTATTTATAATTTTTATATCAGGAAGTCTCGAGCGATATGTGAGTAAATGTGTTAATAGTTTTGAACTATACTTAGGATTAAATAAATGTATTTTAAATATATAACTTTTTTTTTTACTAAGGAAGCCTCTAATGGTTTTATTTTGGTACGTTGTGCAGCACTGGCATCATTCCTTGTGAGTCCTCTCATTTGGTAAAAGGACTGTCTATTCCACTCATTAACCAATGGACAACTGCACAAGCTGCCAACAACCAAGGAAATGTAAAGCTGTTCCGTCGGTAAGCACTGACTCTAAATTTGAAGACCCACAGGAAAGCACCACTCAGTCTAGTCAATCTAGTCATGAAATGATGTGTTTGGATTTAGGAGAAGTTTTCACAGTTTGGACCTCTCCGTTGATATGAGTTTGAACTCTGACTCTCAGAAGGAAGACGGCAATCAGAATGGAGACACAGCCTGGTCAGCAGGTAAAAACACACAGATTAACACACAATACAGTCATGTCTGAATACTGATTACTAATTAATGCTTCTCTTTTCTTCTCTTCTCTTCTCTTCTCTTCTCTTCTCTTCTCTTCTCTTCTCTTCTCTTCTCTTCTCTTCTCTTCTCTTCTCTTCTCTTCTCTTCTCTTCTCTTCTCTTCTCTTCTCTTCTCTTCTCTTCTCTTCTCTTCTCTTCTCTTCTCTTCTCTTCTCTTCTCTTCTCTTCTCTTCTCTTCTCTTCTCTTCTCTTCTCTTCTCTTCTCTTCTCTTCTCTTCTCTTCCTCTTCTCTTCAGCTAAAGACAACACTCCCTCTATGCTCGGTCTATGTGGTTCTTTGGCTTCTCTACCCAGCTGTAAGTCACTGGCCAGTCTCAAGTCCAGTGAGTATTTGGTCAACATCAGCACAGAGCCAAGTCCTGCCCTGTCTCCCAGCTAGGGGGCGCCAAATTCCGACCAACTAGACACTGTCGGTCTCAGCTGTACTTTCCTCCAAGAAACATCACAACTGTCCTACAACATCCTTCAAAGATCCCAATGAGCTGAAACAATGTATTAAATACACAAGGTGTTTTATCTGAATTTGGTTTTTGTGAAGAGATCTTAAAAATCCATGAATGACAAACCCTCCAGCACACTCTTATTTTCCTATCTTTACTTGCCAATTTGTTATTCACTCTTGTCTTCCACTCTTCATTACAGTCTTCATCAGCATGTTTGAGTGTCATTCCCTGAGCCTGATATTAGAGCCCAAAGGCACAGCAGCTTATCTCTGTTAGCTCTGAACCCGTTAGTCCTTGAATTCCCAGCACCAAAGGCACAAGTAGATCAAAGTGATACACAAAACTCACGACTTGGCAGTTACATTATACATTATTCATCTAAAATGAGCATGAACATACAGAGCGGCACATCTGGTCATGTTACCCACAGCCAAATCTCTGATTTAGATGTATTACCTTATTCATATGCTTATTAGCAAAATATACAAGGGAATGAAAGTGAGAGACAAGGGAAGGAAGTGGACGAAAGCTGTTGCCTGTATCTGCATGTGAAATGCGCTTTATTCAGGCTGTAATTGCCTCCGCTGACTTGATGTACTTGCTCCTTTGACAGTTATATGATGTGACTGGAAGTAACTGCAAGTGTTGTCAGCTAAATTCAAACCTTTTGTCATGTTTCTCTTATTGGTGTTGCTTCATTTCTTGTGTTTCTTCAGTTACATAATTGTATATTTTGTTATGCGGTGGCATTGCTCTGCAGTTTTGAATTGTAATAAATGATTATTTTGTTATGTCAACTCAGACTTGTTTGTATGAATATTTCAAAGCATATACATCTCACATTCTTTTCCCAGATGCTTCAGGGCAAACAGCAGAGTCATAACAATAGCAGCACTTCCTGGGAGAACTGGACATCTAGTGGATATTGCCTGTAATGGCTTTGCTTTGCAGGAAATTATCAAACAGAGAAATCACATGATAGATCTACTTAGAATCGGCTTATGCTACATACAGAGTTTGCCAGTTTTCTACAGAAGGAAGGGTAATGAATTATCTGATGTGAAGAAACAAATGAAGCAATATAAGCATATGATAATACAAATACCATGTTGGTACAAGCAGTGTTAGACATTTTCTGTTTTACTCACAATAAACATAAGAAATCAGTTTCTGATGGATAAAATTAACTCCTGCACTACATTTTCTTACTGAATATCCCATTTCACTCAGAATATTATGGAAATAAAACAAGTTGCTAAAGACACCTCATATTGACTTCAAAGAAATATGTTATCTGGGCCTTTGTGGTCAACACCCACCCTTCTTGTGCATATGTATCAAGTATATACTTGCATGGGTACATATCTGCATACATTGAATGAATGCACTACAGTACTGTGTATCACCTAACGGCTATTTCGTAATTTTGGTGGCACAGAAGTAGGCTTGGTCAGAAATAGCATCCACCTGTTTGTCTGAATACATGTTTCAAAGTTTTCCTCAAGCAATATCAAAGATAAGAGGGAACACATATAAAACTTAAACTATTAAAAAAACATACTGATAGGGGGAGGGAAGTTTAGGAGTGTACAAATGTATTTGAGAGTCAGCATATGGGTAAATAAATCCTATATCTATCCATCAGCCACTGAGGGGGGAAAAGCTATATTGGTGGACGACTTATTTCCTATCATATTTACATTCACTTTAACAAAGCTTGGCACCTTAAATATGCCATCAAAAAAGCATATTAGTTAAAACACATGTTTTTAAATGAACTAAAGTTAAATTGTAATATTTTACTCCAGTTTTGCTTCAACAACCCCATGTTCTTTCAGTTAGGAGACCTGTTAACCTATCACGCATTGTGCAGCTGACGGTAGAACTCTGTGGAAAGTATGAATTTTAATGAAGTGGGCGGGTAGAGTCGCCTTTGAGACCCACCCCTAATAGATCGATGCTACCATCGACCAATGGGGTGTGAGTAGTATTTTCCCGCAGCCAATCAGAGTGGAAACATGTGTTTATCCGACACGAGTGTGTAGGTTGGCTGTTGTCAGATTGTGCACTGAAGAATTTGTAGCAGCCCATACAATGTAGTTCTGCTCCTCAACTATACGTTTACTTGGCCAAGGGGAATAAACCGTTTAGGACGGTGCATAAAAGTCTATATGCTTTTTCACACAGGAAAAAAAAAACGTATTTTGTTAAAGTAACGTTAATTAGTTAGGGAAAACTTCACTATCATCACAAAAGAACGTAGCTGACTAGCTAGCGAGTGTGCTAAATCAAAATATTTGCATACAAACTTATATTTTTGACGGCAAAGTTGGACGAAAACCTTTGCTGGAGTATCAGCTCTAGGTAAACGCTGGAGTTTGCGAGGTTGGTGAACTTTTTAAAGACTTTTGAACGCACAAAGCGACTGTGGGAATGTCGTGTCGGAGTGGAGTGGCCCGGGTGGGTAATCAAGGACTGCAGCCCCTCCGAGCCACGGTCCCGTTTCAGCTCCAGAACCGAACAGCAGCGCGCTGCAAAGACACCAAAGCAGGTAAAACCCACGAGAAACACGCCAAAGCACTTTATAAGGCCATGGAGTTAATTTACTGATATGCCCAACTCTTCCATCCATTCGAACTCTGCTTAGAATTCTAACTCTCTCCTTTGTTAGGTACAGTGATGCTAATATTAATTATGTGAATGGATAATCTGCATTAGTCCTTTAGTTCAGCTGCTCTTTTCATGGCTTCGGTGCAACAGAGATTTTCTCAGTTCACTGAACGACCCCCACCTTATTCCCTAAATTACATGTTGTGTGGCCATGATGGTCACAAAGCATGGCATGGGATTGAATAAACATAGCAGGTCTGCCGTTTCAAGTCACTTTTGAAAGATGTTATTGTTTGCCTGCAATATTTGATCAACTCTCATCACTGTTTTGGCATGTTCAGCACATAAACTGTGTGTGTCCAGTGCTCAAGAGGTCTGTTTTGCTTCATCATAAATATCTACAGGCAGCATCAGGAAAAACACATTACAACTGTCACATTCCAGCGACCTGCTGTTATACACCAAGATGTCAAATTTGGAAACAGTTCTTGCATTGTTTTGTGTTGCTCAAGCATTTTACTATATGGAGCTATTTTAATTGCAGGTTTAGTATCGTATATCAAGGGGACTTCAACCTTTTTCAGGCCCCTTTGGTGTGTAGAGAAACGAAACCGGGATCCACTGTTAAATTTTGTGTAAAATTGAGTGTTGCATATTAAGCTTGGTCGATAATAACATGTGTGTTGTAAAATATTAGTGCATTTGCATACTTTATGATGGTTATGTTTCAAATCCTTTAGTTTGATCATTATTGATTGACAGAGTTGTATACTTATGCATTGCATTTGAATAATTTAATACATTTTAATATGATACCAACCAGGAGTAGTTAGACGGACATTGTAAACTCTTGTTTAATAATGATTGGCATAACAGCCACACAGAAATAAAAATTGGTTTACAAACAATTTTCACTCCATAAATTTAATGAACAATTACAAAGAAACAGCAAGTAACACACTGGAGTGTGTATTTTCTTTTAACAAATACTTAAATGTTTTATTTACAACTTTTTTCTAGTGTATATTGAACAATAAATAGGTCTGTGTTTTTAGTAAACTTTGGTCTTAGTGTGACATTTTTCATAGGTGTCAGGCTGTCTCAGGTATTTTGCATCAGCACATTGTCAGATTTCGTCAACTAGGTGAGAATACTTTGAAAAGTCGTGTCTTTAGTTTTAGGACAATGTGCGAATCACAAAGGGTCTTTGATTCTGAGTGCAACAAGATCTTCACAATGCACAAGGCTGTTGGAGAAGAGTAGCTCTTCCACACGGCAGTCTACAAACAGAGATAGAATGACCAAGATAACTTCTTCTTTTTTTTTTATTGTGATTTACCAAGGCAGTAAACCACTAATCCCTCTGGTTCTTGCTCAGTAAGTCATGGGTGCAACCCACACAAAACAAGGCAGAAATTTCCCCAGAACTGAAACATCAGTCATTCAAGACGTTTTGCACATCCCTCCTCACATCTTGCATGTTAATTAAACACATCTAGACTCACTGGCAGTACTTTCAGCTACCAATATGAGTATAGGATTCTCAGCTTTAAATCAGTGCTGAAAAAGTTGTCATATTTTTCCTGGTCTGATCATGAGTAATCTGTTTATTGAAAGAAAAATACATGAGCTTAGACCTCTTTAACCATCATTGAATTTGGCACAATATCATGGCATGTGTTTATATTCTCTGGGAACACAAAGGAGCACAAGCGGTGGCCAGAGGTTTAGTTCATAGCGTTAACATGTTTGGCTGTGTGTAACTTTAGTCCATATGCCAGTATGTGTATTTTTATATCCTGCCCACTATGCTTGTAGAAGGAGGATATGAGTTTGAACTATGCAGCTCATTGGCACTTTTCATCAGGACTTTGAAACGCATACATGAGCTGTTGGGGAAAAACACACAGATGATCTCATCAAACCTGTCAAGAACATGTCCAGGTCACGTTTCAACCCAAATTCCATTTGCATACAGAAAACAAAACCTATTTTTTTGGGCAAATAGAGACTTTTTGCATTCATGCATTCATACACTCTTGCACCTTATCAGACAAACCATATGTACACCTCAACCCTTACAGTGTCACAATCTCATACATAGTCACCCAACCTTCTTTATACCACACCCTCAAACTCAGTGACAAAATAGTCTCCGTACTACACAAGTGTGCCTTATTTAACATCCACCAGTAAACTTCCATCATCAAAAGTCTCCCAAACCCACTGAAAAGACCCCAGGGGCTGGGAGGAGGTGAGTGGATCCAGGAAGGACCTGACAAGGTCGGAGATCAGGTGTACCATTATTAGTTCCTATGACATGATCAGTGCACAGAAGAAAGAAAACCATCCTGTGTACGTGTGAAAATTATCCTCTGGAGTATTTTGGGCAAGAGCCTGATAACTAGCTTGTCTGCGGTGCGTTGATGAAGCACCAGGATGTTCAGCATCCGTTATGACAACAGCATCTATTTATAACAGGTCTTTCGTGCATGGAATGTGTTTCAGGGTGATTTACAAGCGTCTGAAAGTGCCAGCTCACGGGATAAATTGAAAAGATTATTATACATAAACATCATCAGAAACACATTTTAATGTCAGAGCTGTGGCACAGTGATTAGTGCACATGCTCATGGGACGCCGGCCTCGTTCTCCTTCTTTTTGGCTGGCTTCAGTCATTTAGGCTTTGGTAATTCAGTTTATCTATTCCAGTTTAATCAACTGCATTAACAATGAGAAGTCAATGGTGTTTACTTCCATCACATTCATCACACTGTTTTCAGCTATTTTAAGCTGTTGTTACTTTCATGCAAATTAAGCACATTTCCCACCTGATTCTCAGTACTGTAATACAGAAAAAGTTATGTAATGCAAAAAAGGATATATTATTATATTATTTCAATTAGAAGTATTTATGCATTTAAAAGATAAAATTATAATGTTGTTGTGATTTATTCATTTTAAATTGGCTGTGATTAAAGTGGACTACTACTTTATTCTTTTCTGAATACTATACTATATTCAATATACACTGTTTCATGTTCTATAAAAATAGTAAGTGAAAGTCGGCTTTACTGCATACATTTCAAACAGTAGTATGTTAATGCATGTGAGGGGCATCCAGTATTCATATAGGAAATAAAACTGCCTTTTGTAATTCAGTTCCTTGTTAAAATGTTGTACCTTTTTATTAAATTAATCAAAAAGGAGAAGTTTCACTTCTAGCTCATTGCATATGATCTAAATGGGATAGAGTAGTCCATGCTATGCGTCTTTTTATTGTTGAATTTCATTTATTATTTTAAAAACATCTCAGTTTCATTCTCTCACTCTGTTTTCCCTATCCTCTCTTTGTAGCCGAGTACAAGGAAAACTGCCTTTTGTAATTCAGTTCCTTGTTAAAATGTTGTACCTTTTTATTAAATTAATCAAAAAGGAGAAGTTTCACTTCTAGCTCATTGCATATGATCTAAATGGGATAGAGTAGTCCATGCTATGCGTCTTTATTGTTGAATTTCATTTATTATTTTAAAAACATCTCAGTTTCATTCTCTCACTCTGTTTTCCCTATCCTCTCTTTGTAGCCGAGTACAAGACGAAGGGTCGCCCGCCGAAGCCAACCTTGCGACGGACATTATCTCTGGACACTTTGGTGGGACAGTACCTTCAGGGCAACTGGCCTAGAGAACCAGAGTGTCAGCCGGTTACCTGTGTCAATGACAAGGCCACACAGGTGTGATCCTTCCCACACAAATTTTCACTTTTGGGTGAACTATTCCTTTAACACAGTCTGTGAGATTAATAGCAAACAAAGGAGGTCCTGTCTGACCATGTGGAGTGGAGACTTTACTACCTGGTGGGGAATAAAACAAACCATTGGTTTGATCTGCCTTATATGATACACATATAGAATTATGCACAGCTGTTTTAACACTTGTGTTGTTTGCAAAGTATATTTCTTAAATGGCCAGGGGACATAGTGTTTGTTTTAGAAAGCTGAAGTCAAGCGGTTGCTAATGAAAGATCTTGGCTTTGCAGAGAGAAAGAGTTTGGCTGGTAATGGAAGGAGTTTAGGAAAACTCAGCCTGGAACGGCAGCCATATTGTTTTTTCCAAATGGGTTCCATATGGGTTCCTGGAGCACTGCTCCAACACGCCTGCTGGGGTTTGCTATATTCAGTCAAACACAAAAGCTGAAAGTCTCTCTGCTGGGGCTGTTTGTTTTGATTTAGCATCTCAGTTTGGTAAAGGTTTTGCACAGTTCACATAATTAGATTCAGTAAGAAACGTTCATCTAACTGTTTGTGCAATGCTGCTTATTTATGAGAGTTTATGTGCTATTATTATTTCTAAGCAATCAGACGTGAGAATATCTCAGTACGGATAATTAAAAAGGGCAAAAATCCCATAGACTTTTAGAAAAGGGTATCTGAGCCATTCCAATCTTAGCCATCCATCTTAATTTAATTCAGATTCACAAGCTCTTGATTCCGTTTTGTTTTTCTTTGGTCACAGTTTGATTCGATTCTGATTCATTTGGATGTAGTGTTCAAAGGTTTGGGGTTTGCAAGATTTTCTGCAAGAAAGGAATACCTTTATTTAACATTGGTGTATTAAATTGCTCAAAAGTGGCAGTAAAAGACATTGATTTTGATTTCAATGAAATGCTGTTTTTTTATTTCACTGTTTCAACAAAAATATTAAGCAGCACAACTGTTTGCAACAGAATGATTTCTAAAGGATCAATGTGATGTTGAAGACTGGAGTAATGTTGAAACTTCAACTTTGCCATCACAGGAATAAACTGCATTTTAAAATGCATTCAAATAGAATAAGAGTTATTTTAAACTGTAAGAATATTTTACAGTATTACTGTTCTATTGTATTTTTGATCAAACACTGTAAATGCAGCCTTAATGAGCATAAAAGACTTGGAACATTAGTGTATTTCATTTCATTACATGTGAAAGAAATTCTCTCTGTTGATGCTGTGAATTGCACCATTGAAACTCATGTAGATTTTTTTTTTTTGTTGAATTTGTTTTTGAAACTGCTTAGCAATGCCCTGGGAAACCACCCTACAACTCATTTTCTTGAAAATTTTAGTTTTATTTATTAGACTAGACATGAAGTTGTAAACACTGCACTGAACCACCTCGTTGCTTTGCTGATTTGAGAGAGCAGTGGTTTGTGTGTCTGTTCAGATGGTTGTTGCTTTCTTATAGATGTTACATCCAGTTTGGCTGTGTCTCTCAGCAGGTGATCTGCTATGCTTTCACTGATAACCGGTCAGCCAAAAAAGGTTTTGTTTAACATGACCTTCATAGTGACTGTGCCACACACACACACACACACATATATACATACAATGCACAAGCAAAACCCCCACTCACACCCCTACTTTCATATATTCATGTTACATCATGCATTTCTTTCTTGATGAACAAATGCCACCCACGTTTTAGTGGACATTCAATAGTTAACAATTGTACAGTCTCAAGACAGTCTGCCCAACCCCCCATCATCTGACCGCCCGTCCGGTCCACTTGAGTGCAGATGGGGACTTCTGAAACTTTAGCCAGCATCTAGCGTGCTGCGCATACAGACCCTCAAACTGAATGTCCGTTTATAGGCCTAATCCCACGGCAGCCTGATGTGGGCGGGCGGGCAGGCGGGTGTCCAGGCAGAAAGGAATAAGGGCTGAATTTATATTTAAATTAACCCACAACCCTGCCCCCACTGGGCCATGTGAAACCCCCAGCCCCTAAGCAGACACGGTCGGGGGTGATGACATGTTTTAATATGGCTCACTTCAACTGCATTTGTTGTATTAGCATTCCAACCGCATAAGACATTCGTGACCTCTGGCAGGGACAATAAGAGAGGGACGGAGACCCAGGAGGAGGACACTTTTTGGGTTACGATAAGCTCTGAGATGGAGCTCAGTGATTGGGTCACTTGGAAAATAATCGTTTGGTGTTCGGCGATATAGTGTGCACTAGCTGGGCTCCCACTTCTTCTCAGAGGCCTGGGACTGTAGGACGGGGGTATCATGACGGTACGCTGGTGTCTGTCTGTGTGAGTGCACTTGAGGACAAACATGTTGGTGTTTTTCCCTCTACGTCTTTGAAATGTGGTGCAGCGGAGTCGGTGGTTTCTATCATGCACGTCTCCGCACAGCTGTGTGTGTTTGGGCGTGTCTGTGTGTTGCAGGTGTGTCACGTTTTCTGTCCCGTATTCAAATACGTTTAGTGAGGCGCGGAAGCAGCTTTCAGTTCCATTTGAAACATACAGAAAAACATGTCAACACTTGGCGAGTGGGGCGCACCGCTCTCAGGAACGGATGCTTTATCTCGAACTGGTGCATGAAAGAGCAGCATTTAAGGGAGGGTGTGTTATTGGCCGTCTTGTGTTCGGTGGAAAGGGCTGGATTAGTTTATGTAAAGTCTGAGGGTGTTTGAGATAGTTGCGATTCAGTGACGGGAGTTTCAGTTTTGATTATGCTGAATGAAATGATGCTTTGATGTCTCGCTGAGAAACCATTGTGGGTGTGAGCTTTTGTAAATTAGTAACTTTAAAATAACGTCAAATGTAAGCTTGTTTTCTTTTCTTTTCTTAGACTCCCAGTTCCTGGATAGAGGAGACACGGGGGCGGAGAGGGGGTGGTGGTCATAAGCGCTCGGCATCATGGGGTAGCGCTGAACACCTCAGAGAGGTAAGTAATCGACAAAAAAAATGTTGTTTGAACTTGAACTAGTTCAAATTTAATTTCCAACGAAATAATTGTGTTTTAATATACACACTACACTTCAGAAAAGTTTGGGTTTGGTAAGATTTTTGTAATATCTTTTGAAAGAAGTATCTTATGCTCACCAAGGCTGCATATTTTGCTCTTTATTTAAAATAACTGTTTTCTATTGTAATATATTTTAAAATGTAATTTATTCCTGTGATGACAAAGCTGAATTTTCAGCATCATTACTCCAGTCTTCAGCATCACATGATCATTCAGAAATCAGTCTATTATGATTTTGTGGTGCTCTAGAAACATTCCTTATCAATGCTGAAAACAGCTGTGCTGATTAATATTTTTGTGGAAACAATGGTTTTCAGGATTATTTGATGAAAAGAAAACTTTTATTTGAAATGAGATCTTTTGTAACTTTACAAATGTCTTTACTGTCACTGTTGATCAATTTAAAGGCAGGGTAGGTGATTTGGTTCAAAAAAATTTTTTTTTGTTAGGCTGGTTGGAAGTCTCTTCACATCCCAATAGCAATCACTATGGTAAGGTGCCTAAATGTATTTATATGTATTTACAGGTGCATCTCAATAAATTAGAATGTCGTGGAAAAGTTCATTTATTTCAGTAACTCAACTCAAATTGTGAAACTCGTGTATTAAATAAATTCAATGCACACAGACTGAAGTAGTTTAAGTCTTTGGTTCTTTTAATTGTGATGATGATTTTGGCTCACATTTAACAAAAACCCACCAATTCACTATCTCAACAAATTAGAATACTTCATAAGACCAATAAAATGTTTGGTGGCTCTTGATGCCTTGACCCCAGCCTCAGTCCATTCCTTGTGAAGTTTATTCTTGAATCATGCTTGACAATCCTCATAAGGCTGCGGTTCTCTCGGTTGGTTGTGCATCTTTTTCTTCCACACTTTTTCCTTCCACTCAACTTTCTGTTAACATGCTTGGATACAGCACTCTGTGAACAGCCAGCTTCTTTGGCAATGAATGTTTGTGGCTTACCCTCCTTGTGAAGGGTGTCAATGATTGTCTTCTGGACAACTGTCAGATCAGCAGTCTTCCCCATGATTGTGTAGCCTAGTGAACCAAACTGAGAGACCATTTTGAAGGCTCAGGAAACCTTTGCAGGTGTTTTGAGTTGATTAGCTGATTGGCATGTCACCATATTCTAATTTGTTGAGATAGTGAATTGGTGGATTTTTGTTAAATGTGAGCCAAAATCATCACAATTAAAAGAACCAAAGACTTAAACTACTTCAGTCTGTGTGCATTTAATTTATTTAATACACGAGTTTCACAATTTGAGTTGAATTACTGAAATAAATGAACTTTTCCATGACATTCTAATTTATTGAGATGCACCTGTATGTCCTCTGTGGAAGGCGTAGGGCCATAAAATGTTCGACCAATCAGATTATTCGGTTCAAACTTTACGATAAGCTGTCTTACCTGCCTGTCAACATATGTATTTGTGTACCTCTGCGCACCCAGTTTGCAAAGACATGATACGTCATCAGTGCAATTTATTACACTATTGCAGACCAAGCGAGAATGAAAGGCACTATTATTGTAATATTATGCGCTTTGTAATGTATGTTTTCTAACCGGTGAATGAGACGTGAGGTAATCTGACAGTGTTTCATTGGGTGGTTAGTCTCTGGTCTGCCTGTGAATGTTCATGCGTTTTGGAGGAGGCTTGGCTTTGGAGAGTGATTTGCAGGGAGGGTGGGATCTTATGCTTTCAAAGTTAGCTTGGTATTGCTAGCCTCTCTGAAATTGCCTACCCTACCTTTAATGTGTCTCTTCTGGAAAAAAAAAAGTTTTAATTTCTTATAGAAAAAAATTCTTGAACGGTAGTGTATCATTATGTGATAAAAATGATTTAAATTAAATATTGGTCATATCACCCACAATTGGTGCCATAAATATAAACTTCCTGACAGCAATCAAATAATAAACCATTATTATTTAGACCCATTATTCAAATTAGTCCGGGCCACCCTGTCCCACCCATTTTCAGGAACCGATTTTCAATTCTAGACTCATTTTACTTCAGTGGTATCTCAGCTGCTTTTTACAAGCATATCCACAGAGAATACTCTACTTTTGAACAGAAAGTATAACCTTTATTGTAGGTCAGCATGAAGGGCATTGCAGTTAGGTTTCACCTCTTCTCTGCACCTTATAAGTTTACATCTGATACTATAACTCTCATATTTCTCTCGTTCAGGTTGCTAAGCTTCGTCAGTCCTTACAGAAACGCTCCAGACATGCACTTCCTGCCATGGACTGTGACCACACACACCAACACGTTCACAACAGCCAAACACGCACACCTGGAAGTACACAGGTAAACAAGAATGTATACACAAACCACAATTCTAAACAATGTATCAATGTATTTTTGGCCAGCTTGTTAGTTTACAGTAGTGACACACTCAGGGACATCAACAGAAAGGTTGGGGGCATTTAGAAAGGTTGTGCTTGTTTATGATCAGTCATTATGAGATAAGCCTCTCAGGTTGGCCCACATCTCACTAGCAACAGAGATTTAAAAACAGAGCAGCTTTACTTGGTGTCAGTGAGCTACAGGCATTGATATGGCGAAAACACACACACACACATAAAGCTGGTTATGTGGCAGTGGCTCTCTTTGTACAGTAGTATATTTAGAGGTGACAATATGCATAAATCTATGTGCATTGAATGCTATGCATGTTTATTATATTACACGCATGCAGGACAATGGTATGTGTTCAGGTTACATTCAACTGCCATATATATATATATATATATATATATATATACACACACACACATGTTTACAAGATACACAACTCACATATATATATATATATATATATATATATATATATATATATATACATACACACACACACACACTTTTTTTCCCCTTTCAACTTGTACACATATTGGTTTAAATCACTTCATTTTCAGTTAAAGTTCAGTTCATTGATAGTCTGATAGTCTTGTGTGTGTGTGTGTGTGTGTGCAGACGATGCCTCTGATTCCATTGAGCCGATTGGCCCCCAGACTGAGACGCAGTGTTGAAGGACTAAATCTGGAGCTGGAGGGAGTCTTTGTGTCTGAAAC